CCCACCTACAAGTCCATCCCATGGTCCAATCTCCCACGGTCCAATGCTGGCAGTTCCTCCCATACAGTTCCGGTCAGACGCAGAGGTGCAGAGGCAAAGGATGACCTTGGCTTTCTAGAAAGAATGTTGTTATGGCTACATAGTGTCTAACTCCGTACAATCCCATTTTCCCAGCATAGAAAAGGCCTAGTAGAATAATAGAAAGTGTGGCAGGCCAGAGACGCAAAAGAAAAGATGGCTGCAGGCCTGACACCGTGTCCCTTGTTACGACTTTTCTCGCCACTGTTGTTAAGCGAATCTCGGCGGTGGTTAAGTTAGGAACACGGTTGTTAAGTGAATCTGCCTTCCCCTTCTGACTTGGCTTGTCAGAAGTTTGCCAAAGGAGATCACACGACACCACCACCCCTCCAGAGACGCTGCCGCCATCATAAATACGAGTCAGCTGTCTGGTTTCGACCACGTGACCACGGGAACGCGATGACGGTTGTATGAAGCAACGGCCACAAGTCGCTTTTCTCAGCGCCGTGGTAACTTTTGGTCACTAAACGAACTGTTATAAGTTGAGGACTACCTATATTAAGAGCGGGAGAAGCCCCTGTTACCTTTTGAAGTTCTTCTGAAACTCCTTCAGCCTCTCTTTCTGCTTCTTCACGGAACTGGCGCACGCCTCCTGCACGCCGGTGAGTTCCTCCAATTTTTGCTTGTAGATTTTGTGGGTTTCCTATAAATATTTAAAAGGCGCATTAGATTCAGAGCAGCAGGAATTTATTCGAAGTGAGAGGCCTGCAGTACAATGTTTGCTTGTTTAGATTTCGCCGAGTTCGGTTGGCGCCAATTTCACCTTCGCTTGAAAAAGGAACGACGTGGGGGAACTGGTTGCATGGGAAGATCAGCCGGCACAATTTCCTAAATTTATTAGAAGTTTAATGCCGCGCCTGGAACAGCCTCGCCCGTCACAAAACAGGATCCATTCAAAAGAACAAGAGGTCTTAAAAACAGATTCAGAAAAGAGATAAAGTGGGGGAAAGACACATTTCCAATAATTACTTCCCACCTGTGAATATGCACGTAACTGGAGGAGATGACACAACATCAGATTGATCTGAAACCTGAATTATTGTTGTTGGGGATTTGACCAGAAACTTAATAGTAAAGAAATTGTATATTTGATAATTCATGGAATAACCACAGTTAGGATTGTATTTGCGCAAAATTGGAAAAATGAAGCTATCCTTATGGATGAGAATGTGATTGGGAAAATATCAGAATGTGCAGAAATGAATAAGTTAACACTCGGAATTAAAGAGAGTAAACAATCTGATTATTACAGTAGATGGGAATTATTTTGTAGAATAAATATGAAAAGTGGAAAAAAGGAGAAATAGAGAAAAATAGAAATAGATAAAATGCTTTAACAAAGTTGAACAAGTTAAGAAGAGGATTGTTATAGTATTAGGTATGGTAGAATATTACGGTAACATTAGTATTTAGTTAAGAATAAATAAAATAGTAAATATAGCTACAATCTGTAAATGCTATTGTATAAAATATTTGCACAAATATATATGCACCCAGACGATACACTGCTTAATGGAAGACATTTGAATTAAAATAAAATAAAAAATGATATCAATTCAATTCAATTCGTCAATTTTAATAGATTTGTATGCTGCCCAATCCCGAAGGACTCCGGATATGAATTTTTTTATATGAATATAAAATCATCAGTAATCTTTTCCCAAAGCAGTTGTGAAACATAAACAAAACCCGTTTGATCAACATTTCTCACTTTCCGAGATGACAAGCAAAATAGGGGAAGCCCGATTCGCTTAACAACTTGTGTTTCACTTAACAACGGTAGCGACGGGCCTAAAAATCTGCAGCTAGATGCAGTGTTTCTCAACTTTGGCAACTTGAAGATGTCCGGACTTCAACTCCCAGAATCCCCCAGCCAGCGAATTCGCTGGCTGGGGAATTCTGGGAGTTGAAGTCCGGACATCTTCAAGTTGCCAAGGTTGAGAAACACTGATCTAGAGAGTTGTAAAGATTGGGCAAAAACTCCTTTACTTGACTTCCTAACAGAAATTCCGCTTCCAAATAGAATTTACGCCAGAACTCTTTCTTTTGGGAATCATAAACAATAAATATAACAAGGGGGGGTAATTTACCTAACAATACATATTATTACGGCACCAAGAATGGTCTTTGCCCAAAACTGGAAAAAAACAGGGAAATTCCACAAGAGGAGGAAATAATTAGGAAAATTCTGACTTGCGCTGAAATGGATTAATTGACGTGGGAATTGGAGAATAAAGACGAATCAGAATATTATAAGATCCGGGACAAATTTTATCGATGGTTGGAACAAAAAAAGGAAATTAAAAAACCCCAAAATAACAACGGCTAAGATGTATAGAACGGAGATTAGAATTATGTATGAAACTGTAACAGTGAAAATGTCTATATGATTAAAAACAAAGCAATATGGATGGAAATGGGATATTTTTATGTTTGCAAATACTGAATAGACCAAATGTAAATAAATGTGATGGTCATAATGTATAACTTTATATCTTAGTATAGATATTGTATAGTATAGATATATCCTTAGTAAGACATTGTCAGGATGGTTACGCTGTGCCCAATGTTTTAATTTGTGTTCAATAAAAAACTTAATAAAAAAAAACTTATGACCTCAACTCAGTCCCAAATTTTGTTGCTATTGTCAGGATGGTTATGCTGTACCCAATGTTTTAATTTGTGTTCAATAAAAAACTTTATAAAAAAAAACTTATGACCTCAACTCAGTCCCAAATTTTGTTGCTATTGTCAGGATGGTTATGCTGTACCCAATGTTTTAATTTGTGTTCAATAAAAAACTTTATAAAAAAAACTTATGACCTCAACTCAGTCCCAAATTTTGTTGCTATTGTCAGGATGGTTATGCTGTACCCAATGTTTTAATTTGTGTTCAATAAAAAACTTTATATAAAAAAAAGGTGTGAAAAATACAACAAAAAAAAAGAAATGTAAAGTTTTGTCACAGAACATTCCAACTCACCAGCTTCGCCAAATGATTTTTTTCTTTCAAATCCAAGGCCAGTTTATTTGAAAACTATTTTGACATAACT